TGTGTTTTTGATCCGCTGCGAACACAAAACAAGCACTCCTTGCTCACGACACTGCTGTTCCAGCTTTTGAAGTAGTTAGTTAATTACGGTGTTTGGGTGACAATGTGCTCAACAGGCTGACCGATAGCCCGTCCTCGACAGCAGTTGACAGTCTGTAGGCCACTGTATATGCGAGAGAAACCACGGGAACTGGGGACAAATGGATGTTTCAAATCTGAACTGACGAACACTGTGGAGATGGGGTACTGGACGGCTGGGCTCGCTCATCAATCAAGGCAGCTGGCAGCCTTTCTGAGGCAACAGCCGTTTTTCGCCAGGTAGTCCAGGAGGAAACTCCTGAAGCAAGAAAACTGCACGCTGTTTCATGCAAGCCCTTTTGCATGCTTCGGTCAGGGACTGGGTGGGGGGGGGGGGGGGGGGGGGCGAGTCGGAAATTGAGGGCCGTGTGGGGAACAAGCAGAAGAGGCTGGAATACAGCACGAGCGAGTCGGGAGCACCAAACGACCAAACCCGAAAAGCCCTAAACTCCAGAACAGAAGAAGGAAACTTGAACACTCCAAATCCGAAGCCCGAACGAACCCTGAGCCCAAAAGACCTAGAAGCCCCAGGCCCTAAATCCCAAACCTCACAGACCCTAAACCTTAAAGCCAAAAACTTACAAGACACCAGAAGGCCGAAAGCCTAAACTCTAACAACACCTAAGGCCCAAGCCCTGCACCTGTCCTAAACACTGTAAAAGCTTAAAAATCCTGAAACCAAACCCTAAAACCTAAACACCCTAATTGCCGAAACCTTACACCCGACTTGGTGCCCGCCCTAGACACACCGGCGGGCAAAAGGCGACACCCCAACGCCCCTGATTGCAAAAGGCAACTCATGCATGCAAAACGCGACCACACAAAGCTAATTTCCAGGGTGATCTTTGCCAGACTACTTTCGCAGCATCACATGAAACAAAGCGAAATTCACGCGGGACCTGCGCAGAGTCCCAAATCCACAGAATTTCGGACGACGATGCGCTCTCAAACCCCAGTGTGACGCCCTGGCCAGACAACTTATGCAACAGAGCCAACAAAAACAGGCGAAAATGCACCCGAGACCTGCAGGGATGCGTCCGTTTCCGACCAAACAGTGCGACGCAAACGACTTCTTTCTGATATTGTAAAGGTCTACAAACCCTAAACCCCTTAACCTTGCGTGGGAATCAGGAAGAAACAAGGCGCCGTCGCGAGACGCCCACATGCCATGAAGCTAACTGTGCCAAACTAGGTCACATGCGAACTGCAGCGTGCCGCAGTGATGAGACGCCCTTTGCCTACACCAGACGCCTTACATCAAGCACCCTGACACGCTACAAATCCCACACCCTAAGCCCCCAAAACATAAACCCTGAAAACCTAAACACTAAAACCCTAAACCCTCAGCCCGAAAGCTTTAAACCCTAGGCCCTAAACCCTAACAATCCTAGGGGCTCTGGGGTTGCAGGGTTTTGCGGTTTCAGGGTCCAAGTGCGTAGGGCCGTGTAGGGGTTAGAGTTTCGGGTTGCCCCCGAACCCGACTAAAACCCCTGAATGTCGCCAACTCCACTGCTTCACGCTCCACAGCTGCCGTTCCCAACTCGGCCGCCCTTGTTCTCAACACCGGTTGCGACCCCACTACCATTCTACCCTCTACACTTCCCGTATGCCACAATGAGAACACCGGACATCTTCGAAAAACAATGTTCCCTGTTCTAGCGGCCCTAGCAGGTCACAAGAAGCGGTTTTGGCAACGCTGTCCTCATCTCTTCCTTTTGATGGTCAGAGACGGACGTCCAATGTGAAGTGATGAGCTGGCAGGGCGGGGCAAGCAGGCCAGTGAGTGCTGAGGCCACATGACAATGCATAACAATGTGCTACAAGCTCAGAGGCTCTAATAGGCTTTTGAAGCACGCAACGCATGCTCGCATCCTTGTCCGTATGATGCATCCTGTGTACTGTTTCGTCAACGGCTGTCAATTGGTCATGAGTCATGATGTCATGGAGTTAGGTATTGAACTCTGCATAGACTCAGCGCAACTTAGGGACGGCCCTTGAAACTGACAATATAGGTCTTACATTGCTTTATACGCCGCTGAAGTTTACCATGGTTTTGCGAAACTCGTGTAAGGCAAAAGCATGAAAAAGGGTTGGTTCACCAACATCTTTGACCCCAATTCACAGAAAAAAAGATGTTGGTTTCCCAAATTTTCCTTAATTTCGGTCATGGAGTTCGTGGAGCATGTTGGTTGCACGGGCAAGAATGAGAATTTTGTTCCTTGTTCAGAAAATGTAAAAAGTGTCTTTTTCACAAATGAAGGAGATATTGTACTGTTTCACGAAGAGGAGCAGGGAGGTTTCTCATTTTGAGCTTCAATGTTGTCAAGGCGAACAAGGCGAATATGCTTGGATTTCTATTTCAAAATTGCAGCTCACATTGTCTTGTGAACATGTTCGCCCGCCTGAGTGTCTTGAGAAGGCTTCCTGCTTTATTGCTGGCTATTTCTTGCCACCATAGCACCCGGAGCAACCCCCCCCCTGCCCTGCCATACGCCTGCCCGCCCCCTCACCCTAGGTTCCGTTCAGAGGTACCGTTGGCTGAGAATCTCCTATGGGGCCATGGTGACCCATAGCCCAACATCGGCATGGTATGGCATGACACAGCTAGAGTATCGCTTGACACAGTGGAACTGCCTGGGTTTGATTTGGCACAGATCTTAAGCTCTTCTGGCCCTAATTCCTATATAGCCCCCGGCCCCAATCCCTATATAGCCCGATCTCGCCTTGTTTTGTTCATCTTCATGGCCCTAGACTTGTTCATCTTCATGGCACTAAACCCTAAACCCTAAAACCCTCAACCCGAAACACAAAACCCTAAACCCGGGTACTGTTTAGTACATACAGTCTAGTGTAGTAACTGTACAGTATACACTTTGGTTGTCGGCAAAGCGACAAGGGCGATCGGGCACGAAGGATGAGATGATGTGATCGAGAAAAGATGTCTTTGGGTGAGAGGGAGTCCTGCTAAAAAAAAAGTTCGGAGAAGATGCCATTTGCGCTTCTGGCTTTTTTGGGCTAGTGTTTCTCCACACCCTCGGCTTCCTCGCAAGCATCTATCCTGTTAAGTTTAGCTCTATCTGCACTTTCGAGCTTCCAGCGGCTTTGCCAATCAGAGTTTGCTAACCGTTGGGTTCAGAGTAAGGGCTTCGGTTTCAGGCTTAGGGCTTCCTGGGTTTGCTTGTGAAAGGGTTTAGGGCTTTGGGTTTGCTTTTTCGGGTTTGCATTTGTTTTAGCATTTGCTATTAGGTTTGTATTGTTAGGCTAGGGTTTAGGAAGCACAGCTCCGCGACACCAACATGGTGTAAAGGTCCATGGGGGCGTTAGCAAAATGCACATAAAGAAAGTGTGTGCGTGTGCATATATATATATATGTACATGTCTATGATGCCGGGTCACATGTCAGCACCCCTCCACTCCCCCATAGTATACCCACCCCTACACCAGAAACCCTTATGCAAACCCTGTACCCAAAACCCTTTAAACCCGAAGTCCGAAACCCTTAAAACCCTGAGCCCTGAAACCTTGAAATCCTGAAGCCCCATACCCTAAAGCCGAAACCCTTAAGCCTGAAACCCGAAACCCTAAATCCGAAACCCCCCCGCTACCACGAGAACGCGAGGGTTGCGGACTGGCGGGGGGGAGGGGGGGGCCGGGGAGGCCAGGGGAGGGTTCAGGGGGTGCACCGTTTACATATATAGATATAGATACAGATATAGATATAGATATAGATATAGATACAGATATAGATATAGATATAGATAGATATAGATATAGATATAGATATAGATATAGATATAGATATAGATATAGATATAGATATAGATATAGATATAGATGTAGATATGAACATAGATATAGATGTAAATATAGGTATATTTGTGCACGTTGTTGCCAAAAGTGAAGCCTATGTAATTCTTGTGTGTTCTGCCCTGCTCAGCGTTTCAGAAATGAAGGCACCTTCATCAAGCCTGTCGCAGCGAAGATCAAGGCGTGAGGACCTCAGGTGCTCTCCAAAACGGCACATCAGCCAGCTGAGTTTCCTGAGCCCTCGGGCTGCTAGTGTGCGCCAGAACAAACTGCAGCTGTGGCATGCACCTTACAGAGGGGCAGACATCAAGAGCTCAGTGGACGCGGGTCTGGTATCGTATGGTGCAGTCCTAAGAGACACCTGAGGTTCACACTGCGGGTTTTGCACCAGCGGTAGAAGCGTTTGGTGCGCTTGCGCTCGCTCAGCCTCACAATGTAGAAGTGGACGCATCGGGCTTTTCAAACTTGGGGGTCGGTCCATCACGGAAACTGAGTGAAAGTTGGCTACAGAGACCATTGCCTCAGAGCGCGCGTTGTACAGCGCGTTGCACATGCTTTCCAACTGAGCCTGAGCGTGCTCAAGATGCGGGAAACGACGCTCGCACCAGGCAATAGCTAGTGTGCAGCATGCACGGAGTGCTTGGGTTCGTTGCCAGCTGGGCCGGCTCCATGACGGTCCTTAAGAAAGGGGCTGCATGGTATTGCGTAGTTTAGGTTTGGAGCTCTCTCAGCCGAGATAGAGTATAGAGTGTCTGGCTGCAAGGACGGGCCACGACCAGCTGTGCGCTTCAAGGAGCCATCGATGAGTCGATGAGCAGTTTTTCCTATTTTTGTGGGCGGTTTCTCATAGCTTGGGAAGTGAGTTGCTGGTGAGTTCAGTGCTTCACGCCAGTGCACGCCACCAAACTGCGGACATGAGGCGGTTTGAAGTCGTCTTGTCTGATCTCTCACGTGACGACGTCATGTGGAGCTGTGACTATGCCACTTCATGACTGATCATGTATTCATGAAAGCTACCGATGTTTCCAGCTTTGCAAAAGATCACACGAGGCGATACATTCAGGCCCCACTACATGCTCAAAGCTAGCGAGCGCAGCTGGAAGGTCCCGAACGAACCTCCCCAAGAGTTGCCAAGAACGAGATCTCATTCCTGGGCTGCGTACACCCCAACACATGCAGATACAAAAATGCAAAGGGTCCCGGGCGACGTCAAAGGGATCAAGGGTTAAACCTGCCAGGCAGCTGGGCTTCGAAGGCCGGAGCCCTCAGAAGAAACTGGGAGCAGTAGTCAAGACCTCGGCACACAACTTGAGAGAAAGTCCAGAAAATGATTGACGCTAAGCAAGCCGCTTAGAGGCAAATGTTAGCGGACTGTACCGGAAACATGCATTGGTTGATGGTTCCGACACTGACTTTGAGGCGGGATGAAAGCTCACGATCACTATGGGCAAGCATCGATTCATGAGGTTCCCTGTAGACTCAGGGCAGCAGCTAGGAATAGGACGATTTGCCACTGTTCCAGCAGAGATTGCAGCGTCCATCGACAAAGTCATTAGCCACTGCTTCAGCTCCTGACCGTCGTTTTGCAAAGGAGTGTCTTCAAACGCAAATGTGCGAATCTGCGAGAACCGCAACATTCACATCAACTACATCAATGGCCACCAACATCCCGGATGCCTCCAACACACGCGTCCTTGTGTCTCCAACATGCTCTGCGCCTTTCGAACCGTTAAACCGTTAAACATCTGCTCTCCCTGGGTCAAAAACATGAAAAGAATCAAGGACATCAAGGACATCAAAAGGAGCCACAGGGGCCCTGACTGCTGGAAAGGTACATGAAACGGTGGCGGCGTTCCTTGCCCAAAGATCTGGGAGAAACGCGACGGATGTGTGGAAACACTGGCAACTGGCACCTTCTGATATCGCTCGATAGCACGTACCGCAGCCACTGCCTGTCATGCATTGCTAGAACATCGTCTTGGCGCGAGAGCACAAGTGTTCACACCCACGCAGCCAGGCATCAGCCCTTCACACAACAAACGTGCCGATCGCATTCACGTCCACGCCCACCAAATTTCCGACGATTGTTGCTCGATCTGGAGACTCTTCGCACCTCAAGCGCACGTGCAAACCAGGCAAAGGTCATATACCCTGGGGACCCAGCAAACGCCGCGATGAGACCACTGCAGATCTGCATTGAAGAACCGCTTGTACAACTCCGATGCGACTCGCTCCTCCAGCAAAGAGTAAAGCCATGCTCAGCTCTCGGCACATTTCTGCGCAAAGAAAGAGACGCGCCTCTTGTCGCTCCTTTTCATGCCTACCAAAACAACCCTCAGTTCTTTGGATCGGCTGTTCGATTGGTACGGAAACTGGGATTCGGGCTTGTTCCGTGCAAAAACTGCAATCGCAGCACTGGCTGCTGCAACCTGCCGTTTCCGGAGAAAACGGCACCAGATTCAAGACCCACAATCGATTCACATCCTTGTGGCCTCGATCACGCCTGTCATGACAATTCCATCCGTCGCCTACATTGCTTGACGCTGATAATCACCGCCTCGCATAAAACAACGAACTTTTTAGTTGTGATGGGAAACTTTGTTTGGAAGTCTAGCAGTGTTGATCATGGTATCCAGCTACAATGTATACCGTACATGGTGACTTCCGTGGTAATCGGCATGCTGCGTGCTATGCACAATGCTGTTCGAGAAATAAGATCCACAATGTTGCAGAGAACTCGCTTCGAAAGGTTAAGCACCTCCTTTCGCAGAGCATGCTATTGCAGCAGACACCTCTTTGCAAAGGAAAGAAGCTTTCGGCAGAGGCAAGTTCGTCAAGTTGATGCACTCGCGAATCAATGGAATGACACAAGGGTTTGCTTACGCTTCGCACAGGTGTCGACAGGAACATGCTACAAAAAATTCCTTTCAGTGGCATCACACTGCGTCTGGGTTCTCGACAGACGCTCTACCGACTGCATTTTCTGTGGCACTGTTGGACCCGGAAACGCCCTGCCGAGATCAGGAATTCCAACGGCTCCCGGCACGTTAAGGTGCACAAGGGTGTTTGAGGGAAGGTTTGGGGCTGTAGGAAGTTCGGCACGCCCTCAGTGGTTGCGCAGTATCTCTGGCTAAGGTGGCGTGCACAAACCGTCTCCGGGCCGCCGGATACCCCTACTCGACGGAAGGTCGTTGATCACCTTACGTGACATGGACGTTCCACGTCCAATCCGCTCAAGTGACTACCATGCCTTCACTTGCAAATCGAAATCTTGCAAAAAATGTGATGATTCAATTCGCCCATCATATTGTATTCAGAAATATGCTCACACAACAACCGCTCACACAACAACCGCTCGATCTCGATGCGAGGCCATTGGTGGTTTGAACAGCAACCCTATCACATCGTCGAGTCGGGGTCAGATACATCTGCAAAGACTCGATATCCGGGGCATAGACCCCTGACCCCATCCGTCCCTTTCTCGTCGAGGTTGTCCGCTTGTTAAGCCGTGCAAGCTTGCTTCAGGCATTTTTCTTTCAAGCCCATCATGCGAGCATTGTGTTTGCAAATACCTTTAACATTCGAACCCATCATGCGTGTGTTGTGTTTGCAAATGGGGGGGCGGGGGCTGCGCCCCCCGCTATTAACCTAACTTAAGCCGTACAAGCTTGCTTCGAGCATATTTTTGTCTAACCCATCATGCGAGCATTGTGTTTGCGAATGGCGGGAGGCTGCGACCCCCCCCCTAAACCCCTCGCTTTATCTAATTCGAACTCATCAGGCATGTGTTGTGTTTGAATGGGAGAGGGGTTGCCCCAACCCCCCACCGGCTTGTTAAACCGTAAGCTTGCTCCAGGCATCTTTCTTTCAAACCCATCATGCGAGCATTGTGTTTGCAAATGGGGGGGGGGGCTGCGCCCCCCCCCCTCCCGCTGCGGCTTTTTTCACCCATCATTCGTGTGTTGTACTTGCGAATGGGGCCTAAAAACCTCTAAGCCCTAACAATCCCTAAGGCATGAACCCTAAAAATCCTCAGCCCTAAAAAACCCTAAACCCTAAAATCCCCTAAACCCTAAACTTTCCCTAAACCCTGAACCCTGAACCCTGAAGCCTGAACCCTGAACCCTGAACCCTGCACCCTGCACCCTGCACCCTGCACCCTGAACCCTGAACCCTGAACCCTAAAGCCTAAACCCCAAACCCTAAACCCTATGGGGACAGGGAACAAAACAGTCAACCCCAACAGAAACCCTTGATTCCCCTGGAACAACCAACAACAAACCAACCCAGAACCCAGAGTTCCTTTTTGCTACAGGGCGCATGGCCCAGGTTCTTGAGCCAAAATGGTTTGCGGGTATTTAACCCTTTCAACCTATACAATGCAACCTCCGCACTCCCCCTGTCCTGAGGTTCCCTCAGGACACCCTTGGAGGTGCAGGTTCCCTTCCATTCTAACCAAAAACTGTCTTTGTAACAGCAACCAACATATGTTTAACGTCCAATAGACGGGCCGTAGCCATTAACTTGCAAACCATGGTTTAACGTCTTTCCAGGACGAACTTCCAGCGCATTGGCCGAATTCTTTTTACCATTGAGGATCTCTTCACCTCACATTAAAAAGTCTATGTTCCAGCGATCTGTTCCTCACCAAGGAACTCAGCGTTCACCACCCAGCTCTTTTTGACACAATGCTTACAAAGCGTCTTGGCCCTGGGCTGTGAATAGCGCAGAACATCACAGTCACTGCTCGCGTGCATACAGTTCCCACCCACCGTTGTATACAAAGTGGCACTCACGGGAATAACCACCACTTTCCTGCCCCACAGCCATTTATACAGCCGCCGAAGGATATACCTGGCCAGTTCCCAGAGTGTGATTGTTGCCACCAAATACACAGCGATATCTACATTGTTGATAACCGTTTCAATACCTTGAGCCAGAACCATAACCGTAGATGTGTTGGCTACTCTGCACACTCCTTCTTCTGAGCAAAAGAACCCAGCATTTGACGCTTCTTCGCCACCCTGAACGGTTGCCACCCCTTGAAGAGAGATGCAGCCACCATCATGACCGCCATTGCAAGAGAGGCCCTTTTCAAGTCAGTTCCTTGCACCAACATTTGGAGACCCCAAAGCGCCTTTTGTTTCGCGTAAACCTGTCCACTCATCAGTTTGGTTAACAGGTCAGCAATCATGTACTCACCACGGAGATGTGCTATCACCATGTAACCACGGTCAACCAGAGACCTGACACCAGCTGCTCGAATTCTCAGGCGCCTTGTCCTCCAGCTTCCAGCAGGATATTGAATAATTGAGAACGTCGAAACCGAATCTGTATACAGCACTTTCTGCAGCGTTTCTTCACCGGTTCCCACCAAAGCGGCAATTATGGGAGTACACGACTGAATCATCGTTGCTCCCTCTATAGACGCATGTAACTCAGCTTCAGCAGTACTCAAAGCCACCGTTGACTGTCTCTGCGTTGCCCACATCACCGGACAATCACCCCAAACCACTACCGCTCCTGAGTGGCTCTTTTCGTTTTCACCTGCTGCAAAACTAGCATCTGCGTAGGACTCTACCACCTTGATGCCTCGCCCATAACGCAACAACTCATTCCGTTCTTTTCCGCTTGTTGCGATTGCTCCAAACGTCAAGCCCAACGTTGGAGTTGCAGCAAGGTACCGAACCTTTTTAACCACGAATCGCGGCCTTCGAGATGTCCACAAAGACAGCTGGCTTGTGCAGAAAGCCAAATCAGGTCGAGTTTTGATTGCCACCCAGAGGAACTCCCCTACGGCACCTTGAGCCGCTCGTAAGGAAGGAATATCCACCTCCTCTTCTTCACCAGGGGTTTCTTTAACCATTGGCAGATTACTGCCTTTTCCAGTTTCATCAATCTGATACCCTCGTCGGTTCAGCAAATCTCTCACGAAGTCCTCTTGGTTGAGAAAAAAGCTGCCATTTCAATACCAGATCTGGACACCCAAAAACTTCAGGAATCCATCACCACAGCCTGGACCACAGAACTCAGGTTCAGAAGTTTTCCACTCCTTCCTGATCTGTTCCAAAGCTTCCCGGAGCACTGTCATAGTCCCGGCCATCAAAAATCATCCACGTAAAGACCCATTGTCCCTACCAACTTGCTTGCACCTTCCAGCTTCTCTTGTGCCATAATCAGGAACAGACTTGGGTCTGCATTGGACCTCTGAAAGCTCATTGCTTGTCCATCCTTTGACACCCAAGACATGCCTTGAAGACGCTGATCTCGCCACTCCACCCATGCTGCAGGACTTTCGGCCAAACCGTACAAGGCCTTCCTCACAATCCACCGCTCCTCCTTTGTGCAAAGACCCAATTTCACCGCCGCCCTTGGGGGCTGCACCACCACCAGACGCCCTTCTCTTTGCGCCCTATTCATCGGCGCCGTCAGAAAAGCTTTGGAAATGTCCAAACCAGCGATGATCCACACCTGATATGCTGCGTGCCTCACTTGACACCTAAATGTAGTTGAATCTAAACCAGGAGCGTACAGCGAGTGACGACTAAGGGACCTCGGCCCTTCATATTCTGTGGCCGCTGTTGACGAAATAAATTTGCCGCATGCACAAATACGGGCACGTCGCCTTCCAGTCCCTTGTTTCCGGGTAAACACCACCAGACTGGGCACGTATCACCAGCGCTATGCAATAGCAGCTCAAACTCTGCCTGTAACATTTCAGCTAGTTGTGTCGCAGTTTCAGAGGTCGGCGAGTAGTCCACCCCCAATTTCTCCCGAAAGGATGCCACTCTGAAATGAACCGTAGGGTGTTTTGTCAGCAACGCGGATGATAAAGCATCCAATCCCTTGATAAGCAGGGTAGCGTCCGGCTCGGTCGCTCGCAACTCCCTTAATCGGGAACGCCATTGCGCCCATTGACGCACTCCCTTTATGGCCTCTGAAATCGAGGTAGCCGAAGATGGTTGCACCAAGAAGTTCAACATTGTGCTGCGCTCGTTTGCTCCACCTGGTTGGTAAACCGTCAGCAATTTCATCACCGACCCCAACATTCGAGTGGAAACGATCTCAGTCTTCAATCTCTCCGGACTCTGCTCCAACAAAACGTGCGCAGTTTGAACCACCCTGAGTCCTTCCAGCTCAGCCTTGATGCCCAACCTTTCCAGCGGGGAACCATTTGGCATACGCCTGACACGCCCTTGAATAGCGCATTGCCACCACACCCTTCCTGTATCTGTCAGCGAAGACGATCCAATCTCCCAGTGGCGTCGGATTGCTTGGCGTATATTCTGCCAAAGCAGAAAGACTCATCACATGCTTCCCAAGAGCCTCCGGACGCTCGATTCCAGAACTATCACCAATTATTGCCATACCTCGTGGCACCACTGCTCCAAAAGGTAAACTGGCACTACCACCAGGCCTTTGCAGCAGTCCACGTCCCATACCAGGCGTAAGAGCTGTTAGTGGAACCTTTTCTAATTCCAACTTTCCAGCTGTCATTTTCCACCGATACGAACATTTTCCACCATTGTATATCCACCCGATCCTGCAGCATTCTCTTGCGTCACGGTTTCCCGAGTTGAAATAAAACCGGGCTGATTCACTACAGGTGCGGCAGAACCATCAACACCTGCCGGCAAGGAAGTTATCAGCACCTGTATCAAACGGACCGGGCACCTGCATGTGCACCACTTGCAGAACCTCGCAGGGGGTAATGAGGCATTCTGGAGGGTTTCTTCCCTTCAAGTAAATGCATCATTGGCACTTCTCTTCCGGCCTCCACCTCACCATCCCCCTTCCTGAACCAACAGGAACTTGGGTCGGGGGTGATGCCTCTACACCTTCGCCCCGAAGCAGGAAGATCAGCAACTGTCCGCCGCGCAGATAACCAGTTCGTCAGCAAGGTGCACAGCCAGGTCGACTAGTTGCGTTGTTCCTCTGGTTGGCAAGCACGCCCAAGTCGCAGTCGAGGCATTTGTAGGTACTGCGCGTTGTCCAAAACGAGTTCGGTGCAGGGTGATTTTGCCACCAGCGCCGCCGTCGCGTACTGCGGGCAAGAAAGAAAGAAGATGGAGGCCCTTCTTCGTTGCGTTCCGCGCGGCGCCCATCGCCAAGTTGATGAGTTCAGAGTGCAGCAGGCCACCTGTGCTACCAGTTGGTTGCTGATGTGGTGCGTTGGTGTCTTAATAATCAGCGGATATTTGCTGTCAAGAACCCGTTGAACAGCTTCTTTTGGCAAACGTCTTTCTGGAAGTCGGTGTCGAAGTCAGTCTGCTGAGTACGGCCGAGGATGGTACATGGCCATTCAGATCAAACCCTTAGCGACCACGAGCCCCACTTGCTCTGTGTGGAAGGGAGGGTGGGACACCCTGCTGCATGACTAGGAGAGCCAGGCATCCAACATGCTGCCGCCGAAAGTAAGACGCAGTACAACGACGAAAGGGATGCGACCGCTTTTTCGTGCGTTATCGGCGGAGGATGCTGTCCCATGCCGACCATTCCAGAATAAAGCTCTTGAGAACTGCGACGCAAGTTTTGGGCTTCCAGGTGGTCAATTAAGTCTCCGAGTAAAGCTCAGGATACTGAAATGACCCTGCAACAACTTGCATCAAGCCTGCAATGTTGGGGCAGCCCCTTATCCCGCCTGCAACGCATTGTGCGCCGCACACCCTCCAAAGCAGGAGGTTTAGACCACATCACCAACGACATGCTCAAGGCCGCCCCGGCTGAAGCCCTGCAAGAGTTGGCCAATCTGCTGCACACATGCAAATGTGAAGGCCGATGGCCTCAACTCCGCCTTCGATTGGTGGCCCTATTACCAAAAAACCTGATGTACAAAGACCCATAACGTTGACCTCAGTGATATACAGAATATGGGCTGCTGCCCGATGCCTATGGTCACTGAGTGGGTCAAAAGCTCTCGTCCAGCGCGCTTGGAACAAAGCCATCCCTGGAGGCACTTGTCTTCAGATTGGCCTGATGCGAGCCCCTCCCCGGAGGTTTCCCGCCCGAATGGCTTTTGCACCATCAGCATGCTGCTAGATCTGCAAACGTTTCACGATTGCTGCGATTTCAGCGTTTAGCAGCGCCTCCATGCCTCTTTCCCACCCATGTGCCTGCACATGGCTCGAGAAGCCTGCAAGGGTGAGCGTTTCGCGCAAGCCAAGGGCTGTGTATCAGAAGCCGTTGCTCCAGGCCGCGGTGCCGGCTGCCCCATGGCTCCGGCTTTGGCCAAGCTTCTCCTGCCAAAGTCAATGCTTGCTATCGGCTCGGTGCGCAAGCGAGCAGTGTGTGGAACATGGTTAATGATTGGATTTTCAAGCCTGGCACTTTCACTTCGGTTGCTTCTTTCAGTGTTTCAGGCGCGACGCTTAACGTTAAAAGCTCGGATGATAACAGTTTCACTGCTGTCACTGGTCCAAAGGCTTGTAGGTGTAAGCAGGCCACCCAAGCAGCTTCCACGAGGCGCTGCCAGATGTGCTTCAGAAAGCAGTAAAGTTGAATGAGACAATGGACGATGCAGACCTTGCAAGATGAGAACTCACTGGATCCGCAAATGGGCGCCGCCCTCTGCCTTGCACTGCTGGCAAAGTGTGGTCGTAGCACCGTGCTCGGCCGCGTTTGATCTCAAGTCTGCTCACCGTCAGCTTGCAGTGTCGCCGGAGTCCTCCTGGGCTAGTTATGTTGCCTGTTGGGATCCGGCAATTCAGGCGCCACGAATCTTCTGTGCGAGCGCTCCCTTTTGGCGCGAGCCGTGCAGTGTACGCGTTCCTTCGCGTTGCCACATCTTTGTGGTTTGTTGCGGCTGACCAGCTAGCGATACCCTGGACATCTTTCTTCGACGATTTCGTGATCTTTGCCCGGAGACCAGGAAGCACACTTGCAGCGTACTGTTGAAGCCTTCTTTAAGCTCCGAGGATGGGGTTTCGCAGAGAGTGGAGATAAGGCACAGCCTTTTGCGTTGAGTTTCCACGCGCTTGGGATAAAAGTTGACCTCAGCAAGTTTTGCGAGGGTTTCGTACTCTTCTCGAACACAGAGAAGCGCATCTCAGAGCTTAGGGACACGTTCCAGAAGATCCTCGAAACAGGGCTGCTGCCTCAATCCTTCGCCCTGAAGCTTAGGGGTCGTATGCAACTTGCGGACGGCCAGCTCTTCGGAAGAACCGGTAAAGCATGCGTGCGAACCATCACATCCTTTGCGTATGGCGACGCCGGCCCGGTGCTCACGCCAGCCGCTAGGAATGCGATTGCCAGGTTTTTGAAGAGACTGTGTGCAGATGCACCCAGAGTGATTTCGATCTTAAGCGAGCGACCTTGGTTCGTTTTCACGGATGCATCCTATGACGTGTCGAACAGACAGTGGCCATGTGGGCTTGGAGGCATCCTGTTCAACCAGTCGGGACAGGCAGTTGAGTTCTTCTCTGTGTGCTTGACCGCAGAGCAGATGCGCCTCCTCGGTGGCGATAGGTCCCAACAAATCATCTTCGAGGCAGAGCTCCTTGCCCTTGTGGTGGCGGCCCGGAAATGGGGGCCTTCCTTGTTTGCGAAGCCTGTAATGTTTTATGTTGAGAATAACTCAACTAGAGACGTGGCTATCTCGGCAAGTGCTCGCACGTGCGTCCCCTCGAGTCTATTGGAACAGCTTGTTCATGCTGAGGAAAGACTAAGCCTAAGCTTTTATCCCTGGTACTCTCGTGTGCCCTCACCGTCTAATCCGGCTGACGGCCCGTCAAGCCTCCGGCTCAAATTTGTTTGTAGCGTGAGTCGGGAGGGGGGGAGGGGGTAGTGTGTTTTTGGGCCTCTCTTCACACAAGTGAGGGAGGACGTAGTTTTCATGCCATGGATTGGCTCGGTGCTGAGCCACAGCACCAAACTTGCTTGGAAAGTGCCAAGAAGGAGAGAGAGATTTTTGAGAGGGAAACATGCAAAGTGGGAACGTCAGTGCATAACAAGATGCATGCTTGTTTGGATGTGTGCCCTGCTGCCAATGTGGGAGACCCTGCCAGAGCATCATACGGCCCCAGCGCACTGGGAAAGCCGATACCGGGACACCACGCAAGGGCCCCGGTCAGCAAACGCCACCTTAGAGATCAACTGGTCCGTGCAGCACTCGCAGCCTCCCAAGCAGTTTTCGATAGAATACATGACAATGGCTGCAGAGATCTGCACGCAATGGATCCGTGACGCACCTCCAGCAGGGGCCCCAGTAACCGTGCAGGATCCGAGTCCAGCTAGACATAATGCCAAGCCACTCGGTACCTCCAGATCGGTGTGCGTGTTGTGTACACTGCCTGAACAACATGCGGCCCCCGAACAGGGGGAAGGCCGATGCAAGGACGCCACGCATACCCCTCTGTCAGCAAACACCACCTTAGGGATCAACTGGCCTGTGCAGCACTCGCAGCCTCCAGAACAGACCCTGGAAGCCTGGCTGACAGCGGATGCAGAGATCTGTCCACAGTGGATCCGTGTTGCACCTCCGGTCGGGACCTCAGCGCCTGCACGGTCGTTTGGTCTTGCTCGACACGAAGTCATGATCATAGGTGCTGAACAGTCTGTGAGAGTGATGTGTATACCATGCTGGCATGCGGGATGGGCTGCTACTTACATGTCCTTCACTGTGCGTAGCTGCAGTCGGTCTGATGTAGGTGAGAGCATGAGCCATCCGAGAGAGTGCAGTTGTCAGTCCAATAGCATTAGGGCACTCCAAACGCTGCCTGATGCAGGGGAGCCGCTTTCGGCCCCACCACATGCAGACCTCCGCTCCAGGGCAGGACACTCAATTTGCAGTCTGCCTGCACCACATATTTCACCAGAGCGTACCGAGCCGCCAGAATGCAATGCCTGCATGAGCATCTCCACCTCCAGACCTCGGGCTCAAATGAGGCAAACCACGAGAGCCGAGAGAGGTCTCCCTCCTAGGGAGCACCCTCGCTCGCACTACCGAGCAGATGGTCGCCGTCGTAGAACGGCCACGGAGCTGAGGCAACGGGGCTGGCAGTCGTGGGAAGGCCACAATGAGTGGCGACATGGAGCGACGGAGTCGACAGGGTGGTGGCATGGCTGGAATTCGTGGACCGAGAGTACCGAATGGCACTCTGAGGAGGCGGAATCACAGGGCGACGGACAGCCAGGCACCGTCAGTGATGGCCCCTCATCTTCCTCGGCTCAGGCTGTGAAGATCAAGGCCCAAGACCAAGGAGAGCCACACATGGAGGAGGCCGATGTGCCGGCCCCTGCAATTAATCCAGTCGTGGACGGCACCACACCTGACATGATGAATGAGGTACGGACCCCGACAGCTGACCCGGTGGCATCGGAGACAACAACGGACGAGGAGGAGTTAATCCCAGCAAAAGAGCATGCCGCTGTGCAGCATGCCGCTGTACAGTGTGGCCCGGTCACGTGTGACCAGGCCACACAGACAAGCGACAACGAGAGGCCAGGAAAGGCCGCACCTGGCAACTACACACCTCAGGGGCTGCTGCTGCAGAGCGTCGCAATGAAGGCGGATGAGCATCCGATTGAAGAGACAAGCGGTGAGGTCTGTGGTGCACGAAGAGGAGAAGACGCACGTGGTGCGGTCAGGAGGGCCCAAACAATCGGCCCCGAGAGGGTGCCGCCGCACCAGGGACTAAATGCTGCGGCAAGGCTACACCTGGGCAAAGCAAAGCAGCTTCTGGGCGAGCTCTTGCCTAGCAACCCGGGGGCGAGCCTCACGGCCTTCCAGATGCAGGGACACTACAAGTTCAGGCACGACCTATACCACAAAGCTCAGCAGGGTGAAGCCTACGACATCCGGGGCCAACACATCGACAGCCCGCTCCTCACGGATAACGTCGGTCGTTGGATATGGTCACTGGTTGGTGCCCTGCTGACGCATGACAAGCTCGGACAGGTGCAGAGCTGGCAAACAGGAGGAGATCTCGTTGAATCCTGGATGCACTCCCTATGGACGACACAGGGTCAGGCTGAGCTAGACATCCTTGCCGGCGTTTCCCGCCTCGCCAGCCACTTGCACGATGGGCTGCAAAATTTGCCCCGAGCACTGTATCTCCAGCTGCAGTGGAAGACGCATTGGCCAGAGTTTTTTCAGGCGCTCATGCCATACCTGTATAGGCCTGACTGCATTGACGGCCCCCTAGAGGCGAGCCGATTGTGCAACGCAATGGAGTCAATGCCAGCTGTTCAATACATGTCGAGAGTGCCTGCACTGCATGGACTGTGTGACACATGGATCACCCACCCAACGTGCCCATTGCAAGACACTTGCATTCCCACAGTGCGATCTTGCACCCAGGTCAAAGCTGCCTCCGAGCTACATCCAATTTGTGCAGACACTGCCTGGACATCTTCGGGCTCGCAGGCGCGAACCCTTGAGTGGAGACCTCTAGGACACGAGCACCACACAAGACCGAGTGTACCCTGCCGTACGTTGTCAGCGCCCATCTCACTTAGGCAATCATTTGACCATAGAAGGTTGCATAAAGAGGCCCCTAGACCCGTTGGGAACAGGAAGAGGCGACACGACACCAGCACAGTCGTTTCACCCTCGGCCCCGTCAGCCCGAAGCAGGGATAATGCAAGGATTAGGCTCAAGATGGCAAACAGCCCGCGCAGCCCGCGCAGACACCCTCGGGCACGGGTTCGGCCCAATGGTGAGAGGAGACGGACACGCACTGAGCTAGCCAGACGTCGGGAACAACGGGAACAAAGAGAAACCAGGGAGGCTGGCGCAGGCAGCCGCGGGAGCCGATCAGCCGGCACCACTCAGCGGGACGCCCCAGCACAGAGGGTTCCGGCTGAGGGAACCCGGGAACGCGACACACCAGAGGGGTGGCCGTGGACACTCCTGGATGCGAACTCCGTCAGCGCTCCCACTCCTTCGGCCCAGCGTGCCCAGCCGGCCTCATCCTCCAGCACTGCAGTCACCGAGCCTCAGGACCATGAACAGGACCAAGACAAGGGCAGCGCGCAGGACAGGAGCCGTACCCCGGCCCGCAGATCAGCCCGAGACCCGACAATCACCTCCAGGACGGATGCAACACCAGACTGTCCTACACGACGGGATGACATTAACGGTGTCCTCACTGAGATCTTGCGAGAACCGGGTCATCGCTATGGGGTGCAGGTCAGACAAGACGGCTTTGCCTCGGCCATCGAGCTAGCCTGCAGCCCTCTTCTGCAGGCACATGGCATCAGTTTAGGGGACATCCGCTGGATTGTTGATGTCAGGGACAGACAGCGCTATCAATGGTGCGACATCCAGGGCTCCTCCCACATACGCCTAATCATGAGCCGGGACCTGCCGACCGACATGGGAGGCACACCCCATTTCTCCTCTCCGACGGCCCCCACAGGGAGTGCCGAAAAGGTGATCGATTCCTTCGTGGCTGGTGAAAATCAGGGCGCAGGTCTAGGAGTTGGACAGCCCAGGAATAACACCAGGTCCCAGAATAGCAGCGATCAGCAGATTAGATATGCTGCACAGAAAAGGCACTATCCGACAACTCACATGCGTGAAAGCCCCCACATGCACACCCTCTTAGCCAAATCCCAGCCTATCCCCACATCAGTGCCCCCGGAGCATGTCAACCGCCCGCAGGCAGTTATCCTACATGCACGGCCCTGCTGGGGAGCCGGATCTGCCAACCCCTCAGTGGAAGACGATCAGTGGTCGACTGAATCTAGGAGATCTAAGGAGGATTGGCCTAGGGGAATCTTGCTGGGGTGGTGCACTGCGTTTTCACTACTGATCCGATATAGGAACGAACCTAAACCGGGCAATAAGTGGATAACGCATAGACGCACTAAAGGAAAGTACAAACGCAGACCCCTCCATACACCCCTCCGAATTCACGACGTTTACCAGAAATTCCTCAGTCACCGCGGCGGTCCTAAGTCCGCCGGCCCTTCCTACTACAATAAGAAGAAGACTACATTCCAAGGCAAGGGTGAGGTGAAGGTTTCCCCCGGGCCCCCCACGGGGGAAGGACCTACACATGCTATCAACGCATGCACTTCCGCAGGTGGGAAGATGGCGGGGGGCGCGCCTTTATGCCGGACACCAAAACTTATGCATATTTGTTTCTGGTTGTACCTCAGTTGCGTAATCTGCTGCATGGACTTCCATGGAAGCAGGAACACACAAGCTGCAGTGCATGAGCTAAGTGCCATGACGGCAGCCATCCCTTGCCCTGTAAAGGTACCCCCATCGGCCTTTAGTGCAGCTCTTCGCTGCCAATTAGCAGTCAGTAGGAGCTTATGCTATGGTGGCCATCACGACCAGCGGCCCTTGAGGTCCCACAACCCATCCACCGACATCGTCTTCCCAGAGGGGCAGCCGAGCTCCTGGAATGGAGCGAAACGGAGGATGAGACAGTGGGGCCCCCGGCCTCAAAGAGGCAACGGACAGAAAAGACGGCCTCTGGTGATGGCCAGCAGCAGATTGACGGCCCCACGAAGGAGCCGAGGACCCCTCAGCAATGGGTGCTCCGTGCAGCGGACACCAGCCAGATCATCGACCTGGACGATTACACGGAGCCGAAGAAGGCATCAGAGTCCCCCGCAGCGCCGGCACTCACATCCAATCAGATGTGCAAGGCCTTCTTACATGACCTCAGGGCACTACGACCGGCAGACCAAAGACGGCGAGCCCATAAGCTCCTCCAGCACTGGGAGGCAATGGAAGAACGACTTGGAAATGACTAAAAGGCTGAGAGAAGGGATGAGCCTCGGCCCCGTGTGGGAGCCGCAAAATTGTTTAACGGATGTGCCGGGCAGGACGCCGTTTTTCCACCGTGCATGTGCATTCCTGCTTAGCACATGTCTCCTAGGCGTGGCGAGACACAGCTTCATGCATCGAGCCAAAGAGACACCTCTTACGCGACACTCACGACACAATCGACTAACAGCGCCGCATTGTACTATATGGAGCCGCGCGCTGAGGCTGCTGTGCGTCCTATGCCTTGGGCAGGGAGCTCGGTCTGCACCTGCCACAGATCACATTGCCGATCATGCGCACACCCTACCGGGATCCAAGAGAGCGCTTCGTAGAGCAGTTCACACAGCTAGAGTGCAGGGAGGGGCTTGGTACCGAGGGAAATGGTGCACGCGGTCACAACTTCCTGATGTTCAGGTGCGAGCAGCGCAGAGAGCGCCGCTGGATCAGTATAAGAGAAGAGGCGCGCGGGGAGGTAGACACGGGATCGCAAGGATTCATGTCCTGTCCTTGAACGTCGGAGCTCTATCGGTCCTCATGTGGCAAGAACTCCGAGAGCTGCTCAAACAGCAAAGTACCAAATACGACTTCATATGCCTGCAGGAGACGCACCTTAGCACAAGCTCCACATACAAACTGGAAGGATGGTTTGCGGTACACTCAGGAACAGCTGCCAGAGCTGATGGTGTTCTCACCTTGGTGCATCCGAGACACCAAGCAACACACATCCGGCATGAGGAGGTGATTCCAGGTAGAGTCCTGCGCACACAGATCTCGACAGCACAAGGGAGGGTCGAATTGGTTAATTGCTATCAGCACCCACATAATTTTGCACAACGCCCCGAAGTCCTGCGGGAAAAACGGGCTAAACTCCTTGAAAAACTAAGTGGTTGTGTTAGGGGCCTCTCCATGCGCAACACGGTGGTTGTGGTGGGGGATTTCCAGGCTGAAGTCACTCCACATGCTCCATTAGTCGGTCGTTCAACCTGCCAGACCCCATTCCATGTCGGGGCAGACGCACTGGACCCCGGGGACCTCAACACGTTCCTGGATAATCTCGGTCTGGTTGCCCTTAACACATGGCGCGGTCCAGCCACGCCTACCCAGTACAATTTAACGGGGGGGCGGGGGGCGGGAAAGAGCCAAATCGACTTCATCCTGACCAGAGCCATATCTGCTGATTGGGAAGCCAAGAATGTCAAAGTGACAGCCCCACCAATTGGCAACTGGAGACGGCACGTCGGTCACCTGGCGCTTCACACAACCATCCGTCTCATGAACCATCACATGCTCCCCAAAAGATCCACGAACCCCCAGCTGGACAGGCACAAACTGGATCACGAGATACGTAATCGGGAGGAGGGGGCACATACCCTGCAGCTTGCCCTTGAGACAGCCCTCAATGCCCTCACGGACCCCACCCCAGCCAACATCAACTCCACCCTTCTTGACACTTGCCAGAACCACTACCCAATGGAGAGGAAACCCAACCCTCCACCCAACCCCATTGTGCAGCACTTATGGCAGAAGCGAAGGGAGGCCGAGTACGTCACCGTACGGCCCCCAAGGGAGCCGGAAAGGGAAAACCTGGAAAACAACCCCTGGTGGTACTTCCTATCCAGACTCTTTCGGGGATGGAAAGCTACGGTTGCCCTGCGGAAGCAAGTCAAAATTGCTGAGAAACAATGCAAAGAAAAGAAGCGCGAAGACATCCTCCAGCTACTCCAAAAGGCTGAGCAGGCAGCTGATAACGGGGACCAACGAACCGTGTATCAGGTTGTTCGGAGATTAGCACCCTGGCAACCTAGACAACGGGTCATGATTAAGGACCCAAGCGGCCGACTCCTCACTCTCCAACAGGAGCACGAAGCCCTGGTGAGCTATAGCGAAGATCTTTTCGCTCCGGACACAGAGCAGCCGGCTAGGGAGGAGCAAGGTCTTAACTTAGTTTTCACGGTTGAGGAAATTGAATCGCAGCTGAAGTCCATCAAGATTGGGAAAGCCGTCCCTCCAGGAGTAGCTCCTGCTTCTGTATGGCGATTAGCGGCCCCACAGGTTGCGAGGCTGCTGAAGATGGCTTTTGACCAGCATTCTCACCAACCAGGGATCACACTCCCTCTTCAGTGGACCGACGCGTGGATAGTCTGGCTCCCAAAGCCGGGCAAAGACCCATGCGAGCCCTCATCGCTCAGGCCAATAGGCCTCATGTCTCCTGATGCCAAAGCCCTTGCAGGGCTTCTCAAAATCAGACTCTATGAGCTGCTTAGGCCCCAGCTGCGCAGGGTGCCGCAGTTTGCCTACCAGCCGGGGAGGGATTTGTACGATGCTTTGGCTAGAGTGCAGGTGTGGATTGACAACTTCAAAAGGTGTTACGGACGAGGAAACAGCAGCAAATTCGCCCAAAGGGACAGGGAGGAAAATCCGGACAACACAAAACTCTGCGTCGGGGGAGCCATCCTCAGCCTTGACCTCAAACAGGCATTTGACAGAGTTAACCGTCAAGCACTAGCCCAGTCGCTAAAAGACCTTGGTGCGGGAGAAAGCATGACGGCCGAGATTATCTCCCTCCTAGACACATCACGGTATCACATCATCAGTGATCAGGAACAAAGCACAGTGGGTACAACGCGAGGCATCCGCCAAGGATGTAAGATCGCCCCCATGCTTTGGGTGGCAATATCGACCCTTTTGCTGGAGCGGCTGGGGGATGCCCTCTCAGGCCCCCACAGACAAGCAACCACTTTTGCCGACGATACCTTAGTGCAATGGCTCATTGAAAACTCCACGGACATTGCCCAACTTAGCAGTTTCATTAACAAACTTCTGGGGGTCATGCAAGACATGGGGCTTTTGGTTAACCTTACCAAAACAGTCCTGCTCCTGAAAGTTTGCGGACCTGGGGCCAGACGTGCGCTCAAGGACTATGTAGTGTATAAGGACGGGAAAAAATGGTGGCGGGCGCGACACCCTGATGGGAGCGAGGCGCTAATCCCCATTGCCTGCTACACTACATACCTAGGGACGCACCTTTCCCTCCAAACGGAAGCGCACAAAGTGGTAGGCTACCGTATTGCTGAAGCTAACAAGAGAACTGGCAAAATCAAAAAGGCGACCAGGTCCAGGAAAGTCTTCGGCCTAGCGCATAGAGTACGCATCTGGCAGGCCTGTGCTGCATCGAGTGCTACATTTGGCCTCATTGCTTTCGCGCCCTCTGCCAAGGCGGTGGCACTCCTCAGGGGTTGGTTCTATCGTCAACTAAGAGCCGTTGCGGACTCACCTGCCCACATCTCGCATGAGACTAACAAGCAACTTCGGCAAAGATTAGGGGTTCAGGATCCTATAGATGCCACTGTGCAACGGATTCGGCATAAACTTGATAAGCTTAGGGTTGCAGAAGCGAGCATCATCAACCAGCCACAAACTCTCCAGTATTGGGAAAGTATGCTACAGCAATACCTCATCTTCCACACAGAAAACATCGATGCGGAGCCCGACTCCAGGCTGATCCCGGTGCCCGCGCAACAATCGCAGCCGGTGGCCTGCCCAGTCTGCGGAGTGTACTTCCCATCAAACAAAACAATGAGACAGCACAGGGGAAGGGTCCACAAGGTGTATGTGAGCTCGCGCCGGCATGATGATGACATGTATCAACAACAGGATCACTCTGCTGGTGGCATGCCACAGTGCATTCATTGTGGTCTTAAGACGGGTTCATGGGACGCGCTGAGGAATCACATCCTCAACAACGTTTGTGGCTGGCAGATGCCACCCGGCCCCACTCGGGAGGCCGAACAGCAGGACATCGCTACCCCCCCTAGGGGTCAATCAGACAGGGACCCACGCATACATGAAGACACCCATCCCTCGAGCACCATCGCTCGGCAACAACCGGTACAGCCTGCCCAGAAGGAGCCGACGATCCCGTTGCTGCGTAGACCTGAAGTGGCGAAGCAACTACTGCAGTCGGACTCTAAGCTGCAGATCGTCAGAGATCACGCTAGGAGTCTCATCCAGCACTGTGGCTTCTGTGGACAGTGGATCGCTAAGGGAGGCTCGGTTAAGGAGCACATCAAGAGAATGCACTCACACATATGGCATGCAAGTATTGGCAACCTGGACACTGAGTGTGCGATGTATAAATCTCACCTCACCCGTGACAGTGTCTGCGACCTTTGTGAGGTCATGGTGTACCAACCCGACAGGCACACTCGGAGCTGCACGGTTATTTTCCAAACAGCCTTAGCCACAGCATGGCATAAGGTTGGGGCGCCGGACACGGCCCCCGTCGCCAGGGATGTGAGAACTTGCATCACTGATGAGTTCCTTGCCAGGCAACTCAACCCCGACGTGCACAGGCAGGGCAAAATGGAGGCAGGAGACAGCGAGGTCATTGACATGCTGACACGGCACTGTGGACTTTGCCTTCAGCGATTGACGAATCAACAGGACTGGAGGCGACACTGTGCCAACCAGCACAAGGAGGCCTGGAAGCGAGCTGAGGGATTTGCAGAGCTGGTACACGGTTTACCGCTAGCTAGACCATGCCGGCATTGCGGAGTAACCTACCACAAAACCCCGAGGGTTCACGCTCAAAAGTGCCTGCCACTCTTGCAAATCGCATTTCTGTCGCGCCATGGACGACCAAGCACTGCAGGAAGTGGCGAACATGTGGGGGCAGCACAGCCCGATGGAACTCATAATGAGGGACAGGCCGACCGAGGAGGAGAACGGCGAGGGGCGGAAATTCCGTCGCAGGGAGGGCAAAGGCCCAGGCAAAGCAAAAAGGGAGCCGATCCCGGCCCCAAACCAGCAGCTGGCAAAGCAAGTGCAAGTTCTAACCAAGTATGTCAGCCAGCACGCCATGGCGCTGCAACTGCTGGAGGCCGACAGAAGTTGGGTCCTCTGGATGGACTCTGGAGCGATGGGCATCATACCTCAGCTGGTCAAGACCACGGCCACCTGGAAGGCGAGCCGAGAGCAGAACAAGTGC